GCTGGATTCACCAGGGCAAAGAGGTATGCTATTGCTAACACTATTCGAAGTCCTCAAAATTCCACATTCAGCTTTTAAAGCAACATATCTTTTTCCTGAAGACACTGGGAAGCCGTGGTACCTAATATATTGTTGTATAATAGTCACTGTTATATTTTGTGACTGGAGATTGACTTTAGTGTTTTCAACACCATATTTGGCCAATTATCGTTGCACTTTTGCAGTTTGCAACCATTGGTGACATTTATCTTGTTACTTGCTTGGTTCATATTTGGTAAAAAGAACCAAATTGTGTCTTAAATGAATTTTAGTACAGACTACCTGATGATTCACTGTAGATAAGAAAATAATATGAATCCTCATTAAATTATTAAATCATTGATTTGTTATTATGTCACCACCAATATTGGAAACATATATTATAGTCTCCAACTTTTTGTGGACAGTTTTTGGTGGTCAGTGTCTGTAACAAATGGTATATGATGACATTTTGCATGTTAATGCCTTGTTTCATCGTGTGTGGACTACGGTTATATTATCATGTTAATTTATTGTATAGTTAATGTAATTTATTGTATTGTTAATGTAATTTATTGTATTGTTAATTTATTGTATTGTTATTATAGGATGGTTGGTATAGGTTCAGGACAATCTCTAACACAATTTGTTCATGCTGACCTTGTAGAAGCAGGAAACCAGGTAGGTGGATTTCCAATAGGCCCATCTCATACTATTCAGGCCTCATAGACTTCCACTCACGTGGGCATTATTTCCCACCTCACTGACCATGTTCCTGCCACTCAAACCACAGTTCTCACAACCCGAATATTGATTCTTTATTTGCTAACACCAGTTCTCCACCTTTCCCGAACTTACTTCTCCACAACTAATGTCTTCCTTTTCATAAGATTGACACTTACAATTCGTTATTTGACAACCTCTTCTGACCGAGAAATTTTCCTTGTTCAACTGTTTTGAAATATGAAACATTATTAATTTATTTCCCTGTCATATTACTCTCTGATTGGTCTGACTGGCTCAAAATTAAGAGGTTGTATTTCCGTTCAAGAGTTGAATATTATACAAAAGCTGTATTTATCAGGGAGTTTTTCAACGCCAATAACTTTTTGGAATATTATTTTTTATAAATTAACAGACAAGCATAAAAGATATTGTAATTTCATGCTATCTAAAATACCTTTATCCTACAATGTACTTTATATGGCCCCAAGGCCTTAAAATGAAATAAATGTTATACTTTACTAATATGTTTTTAGACTTCTGCAGCTATAGAGAGCTTTGGAGTGGCCATAGAAGATACCCTAATAAAACATGGCAAGAGAATAGTTGGTATGTAACAACAGTTACAATAGATCTTTTGAGTAGGCTAATTCAGACTCCTTTTTGAGATTATAAGATTACATTACATAGCGATCAGTCAATTTGGATTTTACTAAAAGTCTTAGGTTTATTATAGCTACTGTACTAGGCCTATGTATGATTATTATGTAAATGACAGTAAAGTCTCCAGGCTCAGAAAATCGATCTTATTATGTATAAAGCCTAGTCTTTTCAGTGACATGTGAAAAATATTATTGATTCATGAAAACAGGAAAGTGGACATAAAATCCATGGGTAGTGGGAAGTTCTCCATGATCTATATTAGGTATTTCCTATATATTTAATGGTATAATGGAGATTAGAACATCTCTCATCTGTGGTAGAATCCCATATGAAAAAAGTGTGGATTGGAAGGTTTCAGCCGAACATCCTGTAAAGCTTTATTTCTGATTGCAGACGAACAGTTCTTGTTAAATCGTATAGCAGAGGCATCTATAGACATATATGGAATGGTAGCTGTTCTGTCTCGGGCCTCAAGATCTCTCACTGACAATCATTCTACAGCCCAACATGAATTGAAGATGTGTACAGTATTCTGCGATGAGGTACGTCTTCTGAATATTCCTATTTAAAGGGACATTGTCTAATTATGATCAGCTGTTTCATTAGCACCAGACAACAGGCGATTTTCGTCAGTTGTTTTCACAAAATTGCCTGTTGTTTTTAGGGACTTTTCAACTTTTCTCCATGTTAAATTTAGGATTTCCATTAATTTTGCCTGTTGTTTTCATTTATTTAGCCTGTTGTGAGAAATTCTAGTGAAACCCCTGTATGATCATTTAAACCATATACAGGGGCGTACCCAGAATTCTTTCAAGGGGCTGCATCTACATCTAAAAAATCTCTATCTCATTTGTCAGAGCACTAATAGTTCTTTCCTCTGTGTCTCCTCCTCAGCACCCAGAACATTGTTTTCTTTACACCCCATCTATATTAATCTCCATGTTTATTCCAGGCTTCAAGCAGGGTGAAGTCTAACCTAGCAGTGTTGAAATCGTCAAGGCAGCAGAAAAACTTCAGCAAACTCAGTGATATCGCTAGAGACATTGGCAACAACAATGGACTTGTACAAGAGCATCCTTTAGGGATGTAATCACTTAGGTGCTTTAAATTATTTCATCATAGGCAATTAATATACTGTATACTGCGAGTGACGGTGTCACAACATTTTTATGATTTAAAGGTAAAGTCAAAGGTACAGAGGGTGACAATTAGAAACATTGCATTTGACCAATTGATGTCTTCCAAATTCAATATCACAAAAGATTCATGATTTTTTAATTATAGTCTGAGGCTAAGAACATTTAAATTTATCAAACTTAATAAATAAGCAATCAAAGGACCTCAGTGCAATGTATTTACTCATATAATATTGCACTTTGGTCTTTTAATTGCTTGAGGTTTGATAGTCTCACATTTCCACTGCCTTGCACTAGGCTATTGATTCGGAAGATTTTTCCCTGTTTATAACAAAAGTAGAAAAAAGAACCTGTCAATGTCGAAATTCAATCTTTTCCTGAAATAAATACTGCAGAGCCCAAAATTGAGACAACTTATGTAGAGGTTACTCTTTATCTCTGATTTTACCTTTAAGAGTTGTCATTCTTAATTGCTAATATGAGGACTTTCTACCGATTTCAGTCCATTTTTAAATATGCTAACCCAGGCTTTAAACTTAGTTGAACTTCCACAATTTAGTTCAGGGGCATAGAAGTAGCAAGCAACAGATAATTTTCTCCAAATGTTATTGTTGCTATTTTGAGCAATATGTTAAAATAAAATTATATTTTGTTTGTTTTCATTTGTTTTGTCTGTTGTGAAAAATCCTTATTAAACCCATGCCAAAGGTTGTCCTTAGATTAGTTCATGACTAATATTTATGAAAAATGAAAGCTTTGACGGGTAAAATAATATTATTGAAGTGAAAATTAAAGCTATAGACATGTATAGTGTACTTTACTACCTTTAACTAAGTTATTTTTAAATGTGAAGTTTTATAAAATGTGGGTTAATCATCTTAAAAATTATCCTTCAAAGATGTTTGTTATATACATCCCTCATAAATGTTTGTAATATACACAAAAGTAGTATAGGTATTTGAGGTGGTATGCCAACTATGCTTTATATCAGTAGTTTATGATTTTCCAGTATTATTTATTTTTGCACTTAGATCTAGAGTGTCGTTTTAGAGCACGTGTTTGAGCCTGATTTATGTTTGGCAATTTTAAGAAATGAAACATAAAGGACGATTCTCGGTTTGGAGAACAGTCTCCTGGGCTAATAATTTTTTCATGAAAAATATAGAAATATTACCCAAATTAAACTATGAATATTCAAAAGAGGACATTTACATCTACAAGATGTAAAAATAACAAATTGGTCTGAAGCAGGGATAATGCTCAATTAGACTGATTCAATAAAATACAAGTCTTGATTTTGGGGAAAGAAGTTCATCAGTGTACTGCGCTAATATTTTTTTGCGAAAAAATCTAAAAATATTACCCAAATTAAATTATGACTATTCAAAAGAAGACATTCAAATCTATATTATGTAAAAAAATCAAATTTGTCCGAAACAGGGATAATGCTCATTTAGATTGAAGACTTTGTTCTCCAAACCGAGAATTGTCCTTTTCAACCAATTGTATTTGAGGACTGGTTTGCTCTATATTTATGAAACGGGTGTATTTCAATTAAAATAAAATAAAACTAGCCTAATTCTAGTCACATATGAGCTACACAATATTTCTGCTTGCCGAAACATTCACTTTTTTGTCTCGATTTAATATATATATACATATACGCACCCCCGTTAACTTTATATTCATCTGGATTTTCACTTTATTGTATTTAAAACATGACCACCGTTACCATGGTGATTACAGCTTTCTGCAGAAAACAATGCAAGTCAACTAGTGACGCTTAGAAATGGACCATTTTACAATTTGCATCTTGGAATCATTTTTTTGTAAATTTATAGTATGTTGAATTGTTTGTTTAGAATACTAAAACCTGTGTATTCTGAAATATTTCTCAATGGAGTAAAATTTGCAGTGCTTTCATTGAGGTGTTATAACTCATTTCATTAAATATATTTGTCATGCATCAGCTTCAATGTTCTCCCCAGGATTTTTCTCAAGTGGGTGCCAAATTCTTATTTTCACAATTTAGAACAAATTTGGTCAAAATATGGCTATTTTCATGATTTTTCTTAGTTTTTCTCAGTGGTTGCAAATGGATTCTCATGTGGGTGCAACCCTGATATAAAAATATATAACTCTGATATAAAAAGTGGATGTAGCGCCAACTTGCTTTAATGCTGGGGAGATAACTGCATTTTGTAAGCGCATTGAAATGCTTTAGCACATTGAACTCTAGCCTAATGTGAACACTTTTACGATGATTTTCTTTACCTTGGACTTTACAGTCTTATTAAAAATAGTTTGGCAGTGTTAGTTGGGTTAAGTACAATAGTTATTTATATTCAATCTTGCTAGTACCCCCCACCTTATGCCTGTGACAGGCAAGTATTTTCAAAGAATTGCTATTTTTGCTGTTAATATATATGTTCCAAGGTTGTTAATGTAATATGCGCCATTCCATTGTACATATGCTAATATAAAATATATATAGACTGTAAATTCATATACATAAATAAATAAAGATGTCACGAAATTGTGATGAAACATACATTAACATTTTGAATGTTTATTTAACAGTTGAATGAGAATTACTACAAGATAAAACATAGGCAGAGCCAAATTATGTCTGTATGAATGATCATTATAATAAAATGGGAAACTGTCTGTTCCCTGTGTTTTTTTTTAAAGGTAATTCCGATTAAATAGATACTTAAGATCTGTAGCTCTTTTGGGGTTCCATCATTGGTTAAATACAGGTTGTCTCTACACTTTTCACAGGCTGCATTGTAAACACTATTTGGACACACTGTATGCTATAATATCCAGTTTATAATCTACTTCATAATAGCCTATAACAGATTTTCCTCAACCCAAATCAACATGAAAGATTGTCCTCCCAAGAAGTAAACATGCGGGTCTTTAGTGCTTATAGATGTCTCTCAGAGAAGTCACATTGTTTGTGTTGAATTGCATCAGTCTTCCTTTTCTGGTGACTTCACCCTGAAATTGGAGCATAATTGTTTAATTTAATTTTTATTTTATATACTATTAATTAAAGGCCAATAAAAACAAAATTCTTGTTCTTGATCACTGAGCTTCCAGAGGAGCTAACACTGAGGTACATTATCACTCTACTATAACTATACCTTGCATTTGGTGTTCATGGGCAACCCATTTGGCTTATTAGTAATGATTATGTTATTTGTTTTTATGTGTCTGTTCCTTATTAATGGTTTATCGGTTGAATGTTAGATGTTACTAAGGCACTTTCAAAAATATACTAAACAATACAATTAGACAAACAAAGTATCTTATGCATTTCTAGGTGTTAGGTATAGTAGAGTGATTATGAAACAAATGGATGAGAGAGCACTGATGTTCCATAACCGAAGATGACTAAGTGAAATTCCAATTCTTTAGGGATTTAGGGATGGGGTTAGCGTGAGAGATTGAATCTTCAACCACCTTCAGTTGCATACCAAAAATCATTACCCACGAATGAATACATTCAATAGGAAGATACATGACACACCCCAAATGGAATCATGACACACCCTATATATAAAATAACATACCTTGCACCTGCGCTCTGCAATGATGTCATCAATTTCTCCATATACAATTTCTTCAACGCAATTCTCTTCTTCATATGCCTGACAGTGAGCACCATGACATAAGATATTAGTAGGATAACAATAAGTACCAATGTCCCCGAGCCTGACACTAACAGAGGTGTGATGTCACTCTTCGGTGGTGCACCATATACTTCAACAGTGAAGGTTGTACGAAGGTCACAGAAACTGAAAATATATAAACAAGAGTGTTAACAGTAATGTGTCAAAACTTGTGTGTCAGCATCAATTTTCCATTATTGTCAGGCCAATTTAGCCAGCTTTTGCCAAGAGAGGGTTGGGTTTTAAAAAAATTATAGAATGCTCATTTGATAAGTTTGGCCCAAAATCACTTAAAAAGTGCTCAAAATGGTGAAAACTACAAGAATTTTACATAATTTTTGGCCAGAGATGGGGGTTTGAGTAAACATGCTTGATTGTCCCTCTTCATTTAGCTCAATTGGCAGAGCATTGTCGGTTGTCATGTTTTCACATTGTCATGGGTTCAAGCCCTCTCAAGGGAGACAGCCTTTTTACATCAGAATAGGATTTAATTCAGCATTATGTTATGGACCAATTGTGGTTGCTTAACTTATATGAAAGCTGGTGTAATTGTCATTTTTGTCAAAAAACCAAACATATGACCTTAACTACCTATCGCAGAGTTAAGGCACCTTTGCAATGAGAGAATGTATATATCCTAAGTGACATCTATAAATAAGTAGAATTGAAATGTGCATTGTAAATAGTGAATTCGAGCTGACAACACGTTCTTTCAGCAGTGGTAAGCATACTTTTTTATTTGCCCGCGAGCAAGGGGCTAAAATAAAGGCTTTGAGGGCCTAGATATATGCCCGAGCAAGGGGCTAAAAATTAAGCCTTTGAGGGCCCAGATATATTGCCCGAGCAAGGGGCTAAAAATAAAGGCTTTGAGGGCCCAGATATATTGCCCGAGCAAGGGGCTAAAAAATAAAAGGCTTTGAGAGCCTATGCCCGAGCAAGATAAACGGCTTTGAGGGCCTAGAGATAATATGCCCGAGCAAAGAGCCAAGATAAAAGGATTTAGGGGTCTATAATGGTATGCCCAAGTAAAAAACTAGAATATGGTTTTTAGGGTACGAGATATCATGCCAGAGCAAGGGGATAATATATATTTTGAGGGTCTATAAGGATGAAAGATTATTGATTGATTAAAATTCTAATTCGGAATGAGATAAAATATAAAATTATGATGATTTAGAGATAGGAAGAAAAAACAGTTATCATTTGAGTTTGGGAAATAGTAATATCAACAAGGTAAACAGAATGATGAAAAGTTAGAGGTCATTCATATAGAAATTAGAGAGGTTTCGCAAAACGTTTTTTAGCTCCACGGATCCGTATCCGTAACGTATTTACCAGATTTATGCGTAGTCAGTTCAATTTATACGTGAAATAATACGGAAAACACGAGAAATGAGGCTTTTGTACGTTGGTCATTTACGTATCCGATTTTACCCTTCGATTATATTGTTTTTAGTTCTAAAGGTATCACTATATGAACAAGTACTGTGTGCTGTGTATAATTTGACTAAAATTTGGTGAACGAATCTTTTTATTTTTTGACATAAATCGAGTTTTTCAAATGGTATGTTCAATTCATTTTACACTGTATGGAATGGCATTGCAATAATTACAGTGTACATGTTTCGCACAACGTTTTAACTACCCGTATCAAAATCCGTAACGCATTGATGGAGTAAAAGTGTACTCAATACGTTTGTGGTACCGACAGCAATACCGAAACTACGTAAACTAACACTTTCTGTGCGTAGTTGTCTCCGTATCAATTTTGTCCTTCAAATCTTGATAATTTTTTCCCTAAATGTATAATTTTAGTAACCCACATATGTTATCATGTGTATCGTGCTAATTTTGATGAAGTAATAGCCTTATCTGTCGATAAATTTGATTATAAGCGAGGGACCTGCAATTTTTACGAGTAAAGCTTTACTCACTTTAGCTTTGCTAATAGGCAGATGTTAAGGTCTATCGTTTTAGGGGTCAATAGTAATACCGTAGTGAATTTCTTAGGGACATCAAACCAATGGTTAGCAGCTGGGCCACCTGCATTTATATTTTGTGCCTTAAGTCACTGAAGTCTGAATTCATATATTCATATAGAGCAGGGTATTGGGCTTAGTTTGAGTATAGCAGCTTGGTCCTGACCTCGACAATGAATGTGATATTGGGTCTAAAGGTGGCGTCCCGCATCACTCTTGTCCGTATCCAGCTTTTGCCAAGGGGAGTTTTGGCTAAAAAATCCCGAAAAGTGCTCAGGTTGATGAAAAACTGAATGATTTTGAAATAATTTCTAGCCAGGGAGCTTCTTCCCGTTGTATGACTTGAACATGCATCAAGTCATGCGATTTATGTCAAATAGTTAGCGGCCTCGTTTGGGGGTCCAGGGAGACTAATGCCCTAAAGCTTAGTGCCCAAGCTTCCCCGAACCACCGTCAGTGAATGTGACAGGTAGAGTATATTTATCTGATCCTAGGATAATGATATTGGCGTGTCATTTCCTATTTTCATTTTTGTAAAGACAGGCCTGACATCCCGATCCAGTAACGGACCTTCTATTTTACATATGAGTCAGGGGCCCCAGATAATTCTAACTCTTGAGTAGTGGTCCATGATGTGTCTATGGGGGGTGGTTGTGTTTCAAGTACATATTCAGTAGATATCAGATTATCTCCATTGTGTTGTGCGGTTGTCTCCAGTTGGAATAAGTTAGTTGAGTATATCGGTATCAAAGTTTCGTTGTGGTTTATTGGTTGTGCCTGATTGTGTTTTGATGGGCTGAGTATCGATTGAGTATTTGGTTAAGCCTGGTTGTGTAATGGAGGGTTAGTGTCAAGTAGGTATAGGTTTTGCCAAATTGTGTTATGTAAGTTTGAGACTCGGTTCTCTTTTGATGGTTGTTAGTCTGGTGATTTAGTATCGGGTTGTGCCCCACTGTGTTATGTTAATTTCATAATGGGTCGTGTTTTCTTGTGAATATGTTATGTTGGTTGGCATCTTGTTGTGTCTGATTGTGTTGTGTGATTGACGTTGTCTCCAATTGGAGTTAGTTCGTTTTATATCTCGGTATTACAATTTGAATGTGTTCTTTTGTCTGTGCCTGATTTTGTTTTGATTGTTTGGTTTTGGGTTTTGAAAAATTGTGTTGTGTTACTTGAACAATGGGCTGTGTCTGCTTTTGTTGGTTTATCATTGGGTTGTGCCAAATTGTGTGGTGATAATTTCACAGATCATTGTGTTTTCATAGTTGTTAGTTTAGTTGTGTTTTATTGGTTGTGCCTTATTGTGTTTTTATTGTTTAGTGTTGGATTGTGCACAATTGTGTTGAGTTAATTCAACAATTGGTTGTGTTTGTATTTGTTGTCTTATAATTGGGTTGTGACTCATTGTGTTAATCTGACAGTTGGTTGTGTTATGGTGGTTGTAAGTCAGGTTGCGCCATGCTGGCTTTGGTGCTGGGTTATGCTCTATTGCGTTCTGTGTATTTTGACACTGGGTTATGTTCTATTGTACTGTTGTATGATTGGTGATCTAGGTTGTGTTTGGTTGTAATAGGTTATATATGTCGATTTGCGGGCTGTGTCCGATCGGGTTGTGGTGTATATTGGGTTAAGATACAAATGACCGGTTTAGGGTATTATGTTGTTGGTATATCAGTTGATTCTGGGTAGAACCAAAGGGTGTATAGGGTATTATTAGTATGTTATAGGTTTGGTACCTACATGTATTCATATATAGTGCAATCTCTAGTGTGAGATATTCAACTGGTATGATGGGCGTTAGCTTCGCGTCGTTCTCTGATTCTCTGATGAGCTGGTCCCCTGTTGTTCAATGAATTCAAGAAAAACAATGCTAATTTATCTTTTTACATTATATGTTTTTTGTTGATTTTTCATACAAAACAGGGGAGATGTACTTTTATAGCATTTATAAGTATATTTATAAAGGCATATTTATATAGATAATGAGGTAGGGATATGATGATATAACATTAAGCGTGCATGCTTTCATGTTAAGTAAAAACGCACTTGCTGCATCCTTGATATTCTCAGGAAAAAATAAGTTAACGCAAATCTTCACACTAATTTCAAATATCATTTTTACCGAAAAAAGAAATGTTTACGCATTTTTGTGGCATAATGCAGTCACTGCACGTCACTTAATGACCACTATTTCAGCCTATCTGTGTCCAAACCCTTAAATATTCCCCAAAGTATAATTTGACACTGAATTGGTTATTGTAAACCTAGAAATGATGTTTTCTGGCCTAAGGGATATTCTTCATTTTGAAATTGATGTCATGAAATTAATAAATGACCCCTTAGGGATAAAGGGGTTAATATGTATTTTTTCACTCACCAAAAATACTTATGGAGTTGTGATTCTGAAAGCTGACACTCCCAATGATGTTTTGAAATCTTAGTGCAGATGAAGCCATTTATTTGACCCTAGTTTTCACTACTATTAAACACGGATTGAGATGCGTTTATAATTACGTACTTCAAAAAACGAACTGCGAAACGAAAATTATCGAAATACGTATCCGTAAACGTAACAAGATACGGATGCGGATACGTTTTAGCTAATTCGTTTTGCGAAACCTCTCTATTAGTTACAGGTAAACGTAATTGGTCAATTAAAGGATTTGAGGGAGTCTATTCAAGAAAAGGCTTTATACACACTGTATTTTTGTTTAACCACAGTGGAGGTGAAATTTATACGATTGTTTATTTTTCAATTGTTCCACACAGCGGTATTTCGCACAAAATAATTTTTAGGATTAAAATTTTGACTGTGGTCAAAAAAGCATGTTCAAAAATGCACCCACAGTGCAGTTTACCGGTTGTTTGTTTTAACTAGTTATATGATTGGATAAGAATGCAAATAATTTTTCAGAAACACAGCAGTACTCATTTTTTGGGAAGGCTGAGTCGTATGAGTGGAAGTTGAGAGCCATGTGGTTGGCAGTGAGTCAGTTCGTTTGCGCTGGAGGTGTTTGTTGAAGAAAAGCATAAAAAAGAAGAAAGTTAAGGTAAGGAAGAAATTAAGTTTAGAATGCGACAGGTGTTCCTGTTTTGTTTTTGTTTTTTTGTTGTTTTTTTTCATATCATTTCTCAGTGAAATTAGGATGACTGCAGAATTTAGGCATTATGTGTCTAATCTTTTACAACAATATACTGACGGTTTGAAAACGTAGGTAAAGTCTGAGCAATAATGAATGAGCAGTGGATTTGTTGAAGTGAGGATTTCCCATGTTAAAATAATGGAATTTACAAGAGGCCACACATCAGTCGATGACAGTATACAAAATGTAAAATATACAAATTTTATGGCATAAGTATCTTGACAAAATTTGAAACTAGGGGTTTTCAAACCACTGTGGTTTGGAAGTGGTGATAAAAAAATACACTACTCAATTAATTAATACCAAGGGTATAGCCTACACTTAGGACTAGATGATGTTTTATCAATTTTCAATATTTAATTTGCAGAATGGCGTCAAAAATTGTCGAAAAAGCACAAGGTGCACCCGGAACTCTTGTGTACATTGGTGAAGAGGGTTGGAGATATTGATGAAGTTTCTGCACACGTAGGAACTTCGAAGAAAGAATTAGTGGATGATTACAAGACTTTGGAAGATTTGGAAGGTAAAATTAGTTTTAATGTGTTTGTTGAGCGAATATTTGGATGCTGTTAATTTATTTCGTCTTTTATATGAAGTAAAATGTTTGAGAAACACGTATTTGAAATCACATCTGTAGTTATTAAAATTATTTTGTTATTCCAGAAAACTGGAAATCTCTCCACACTGAGTGTACGCTACACAAGATTTTGGAGATGTCAAACAGGGACATAAGAGTCAAAAAGATGAAGACGGCTTTTAAGATAGGAATAGTGCTGGCCAATGAGAAGGGTCAACCGAAAGGGCAGGCTCTGTACCCAAAAGGGCAGGATATGGACCCAAAAGGGCAGGATCGGGAACCAAAAGAAAAGGTAAGCTAAATAAGAAATGCTGGTGTTTTATTTCAGGTCAATGAGTGTTTCCAGTAATTTTAATGACCATATGTTTGGTTTTTCAGATGGGCATAACTCAGTGTAGATTTCAACAAGTTAAAAAAATGTGAACGATATTATTAGCATGTTAAAACAAGGTCTAATTAGGAAATTGATACAGGAGGCTTATTTTATAAATGTAGATTTATGAGATGTATAATGCAATTACAGAATGAGAGTGAGAACGAGGAAGTAGCTGATCATAAGGGAAAAGAAAAAGAAACGGAGATGTCAAAATTGAAGAGGAAAATTAGAGACCTGGAAGATGCAGAGAAGAGGAAGAAAAAGAAAAAAGTAGTGGAGTGCGTAAAGAAGGTGAGAAAGATATGCATGATTAAGGATGCGAAACAAGCGGACATTTCCATGGAACTTGATGATTTAATAGAAGTGGCCAAAAAGACTGGGCATAAAGAACTAAATACTTATGAAGAGATGTCTCGCTATGCCGGAAAGTATGGTGATAGAATAGATTTGTCTAATTTTATCATGACTTCGTTGTCATCTTCTGGAGATAAAGTGTTTAAGAACATAGCAAAATGTATAAAGAATCATGATCTTGTAGAAAAGAAATCTGAAAAGAAGGATCAAAAATCTGAGAGTGATAGTAAGACCCCTTGGCAAAACATATTTAGTTTTGGAAATCCAATGTTTCCCATGCCTCAATTCGGGTCAGGTTACCATGGCCAGGGATACCAATACCCAAATTTTCAGAGGGGTGGATACAATGCATACAGACCAAGGTTCAGGGGATCTTACAGAGGTAGGGCTTACTTTCAGGGGCAAATTTTATGCGATTTTTGTAATTCGCCAGACCATCAGATTAGGTAATGTGAGTTAATGAAAACCTCCAGGGCTAAAAATCAATGAGAAGTTTTGATCATTTTGCAAAGCAATTCAGTGGTAATTTAACTTTTGTCCATTTTTTCCTAGATCCATGAGATCAGGAACTTGAGATGATAAGAAGCTCTATTATTTTGATATGATAGGAGGCAACTCCTCTATGAACCTTTTATATTTGTATTGTAAGTTGAACGAGAATGTAATGTAAGATTTTGATTAGTACAGATTTGTTAATAAAATTTATAATCTAATGAAAAATGACTGTATGTTGACATAGTAATTGACTTCTCTTCACATCCAAGGTCCAAGAGCACTTACCTCTTAGTCGGTTCCCCACGTGGACTGCGGATGTGAGGGTGTTGTCTCTTCATGATAGAATGGCGGAATGTGGTTTTGTTACTGAGTTTTGCAAATATTCATGTTACAGGGAGACAATGATTCAGAATTGTTCACCCCAATAATTCCTGAATGGGAGAATGACGTCAACTTTAGACCTGATTTGATTTGAATAAGACATCAAGAAAAAACCACATGCCTTCATCTACTTGGAGAGACTACTCTCACATCCGATGTCCACGTTGATAGTATGTTGAACATTGAAAATTTTCTCGAAACCCCACAAATGATTGGAAAACTAGATATTCTAGACCCATCATCATTTTTATCAGGACAGTTACATAATAAGATGAGAACAGAAAACTGGTGTCATGTGTTAAAGGGGACACAGGACAGGTTCAACGTGAAGAACTGGTTGAATAATGGCATTGACATAAAGGATTATATGAAACATTTCAAGGGTCAATATAAAGGGAAAATTTTTGATAGTCCAGTCCCTCCAAAGATGTTCATGCCAAATAGTCCTAGTTGCAAAGATTATAGCAATTTCATATCAAAAACTTTGGAAGAGAAAATAGAGTCTGGAGCTATTAGGGTCATTGGTAAGGTAGTTCAATGTCAGTTACCTAAGGTTGTGATGCCGTTAATCGTTGAACAAACAAAACCAAGATTATGTCACGACGAAAGGTTTATTAATCTATGGATGAAGGACATGCCTTTTGAACTGGAAACGTTAAAAGATGTCCCGCGCATGGTTGGCAACGATTCTGTTTTGTTTTGCTGTGACGAAAAGTCTAGTTACGATCATGTCAAGCTAAAGGAGGAATCTCAGACATATTTTGGTGTAGTATTTGCAGGATGGGTTGCCATTTGGTTGGAAAATTAGTCCTTATATTTATCAAACTCTAGGCATGACGGTTACATCATACTTCAGGTCACTGGGTTTGGTCACAATGCAGTATATAGATGATCGATTGTTAGTTGTTAACAAAAGAGTGGGTGAATCTATTAAGAGTTTTCAGAACAGACAAATGCAAGAAATGTATGTTTTCATAAAAGTATTGACAATGTTAGGATATAATCTGGCAATCAAAAAATGTATCTTTGAACCCCAAACGTCATTAAGTAGGCTACCTCAGTTTTATAATAGACTCAAAAAGCGGGTGTTTCAGGTTACCGGAGTGCAAGAAATCAAAATTTATCGAGTTGAGAAAACACATACTGTCTTTAGAACAAGTTGATATCAAGACAATTCAACCTTTTGTTGGAAAATGTGTATCGATGATCCTTGTGGTACCTGGGGCAAAGATGTTCAAAAAAGTGGCAAATAATGAAGTTTCAAAAGCATCCAAGAATAGTCAGATGGTCAAGATATCTGGTCAACTTAGACAGGAAATTGAGCACTGGGAGTTCATTGATGATTGAACAGGTTGTGCATTATGGAAACAAGAATGTCATAAAAGATATGTCTTGGCAACTGATGCATCTTTGTATGTGTATGGGGTGGTTGTCTGGAAATCAAAAAACGAATCAGTTTTCAGTGATTATTGGGATAAAGAGGATAATAGGCCTATTCATTTAAAGGAGGCTCATGCGTTGTTGAATGGTTTGAAGGCTTCGGGAGATGAGTTGAAAGATTCTAGGGTGAAAACATTCATAAACAATAAAGCGGTTGTACAGTCGTGGTCAAATGAAGGTTCAAAAGATTTGAAAATGAATGAAATTCTAATAAGTGTCTTCGTGTGTCATCTCGAGAGAAATATTGATCTTCGTGTTTGGTATGTACCCACTGGGGACAATCCGGCAGATATCCCATCTAGGAAGTTGTCCTATTACTCTTCTTAGCTCAATGGCTAAAGTATTTGAACTTATTATATTCAATCAACTCTTCAAGCACATAACCGATAATAATCTCCTGTATAGATTCCAGAGCGGATTCCTCCCCGGTCACAGCTCTCAGGTACAACTTATCTCAATTATTGACTTTTTAACTACTTGTATCGACAATGGTGATCAAATATCTGGAGTCTTTCTTGATATCTCAGCAGCCTTCGACACTTTACCACATACTCATTTGAACGCTAAACTCAAAGGATATGGTCTTGGCGCGGATATACTGAGTCTCACCAAATCATATTTGAAAAATCGGAAAGTACGTGTTGTTATTGATGGTCACACCTCTGAGCTATCACCTGAAAAGTATATCAATGCCGGTGTTTCCCAGGGATCTCTTCTTGGACCGTTATTCTTCCTCTTATATATCAATGATATGCCCGATAATATTACCAATAAGTGCTTTATCTATGCCGATGATACATCAGTCTATTGTCCTTACTCAATTGATAACTATATTGAAAAAATGACAACCCTACAAGAGGACACGGACAACATTATAGTCAAACAAATGGAACCTCAAATTTAATGCATCAAAGAGTGCACATGTCATCTTCCACGGCAGTAATTCCTTCCTAAACGACTATCCACTTGATCTTGATGACAAACCCATACCCCAAACCACTTACCATAAACACCTAGGACTCATTTTGGACACCAAGTTAACTTTTAACTTTCATATAAGCATGCTCGTGTCTCGCGTAGATAAACTTCTAAACCCACTTAAAGCACTTAAGACTAAGGTCTCGGGAGTTCACCTATCCACACTGTTTAAATCGTTTATTCAACCCCATCTGGACTTTTGTGATATTATTTATGGGTGTGGCAACATGACAAAGCTCTGACTTCTTGAAACTTTACAATATAAAGCAGGCATTATCGTTTCAGGTTCTATTTACGGTTCTAACAATTCTAAAGTTTTGCACTGTTTGCACTGTTTAAACTGGTTACCACTCTAAACAAGATGCTCACACCACCGTTCTAACCTCATGTATAAAGTTTCTCGAAAATCATGCCCCGCCTAAATCCAGCAAATCTTTGAACGCTACAGACGCATTGACGACCATCGCAGAGACCTCAGGAACCGCTTCGACTTTAAACTACCAAGGGCACGTGGCACTATATTGTCGAGATCTTGTGTATTTAAGTGTATAACAGAATGGAACAACATTTCTGCTGAAATAAAACAATCTGAAAGCATTGAAATTTTTAAATCAAAAATTAGAAGTCTCGCCTCTAAGAATAATATTATATCAACCGTTTCTCTAAAAATTACCAGAAAGCAAGAAATGTTTTTAAATAGATTAAGATGTGATTTGCTTCTAAACTCACAACTCCACTCACATAATTTTAACACCCATCCTACTCCTATCTGTGCCTGTGGAAAAGAGTCAGAAACACTTTCTATTTAGATGTGACCTCACTAAAACATTCATCAATCAGTTAATAGAAATATTTTTCAAAGATTACCCTTTACTTCATTTTAAAGACATGAATCAAACCTGTAAGATAAATACTTTCCTATATGGCTCCAAATATTATCTCCCCAAAACGAACTTTTCCTTGTTACAGCTTAGCTGTAAATATCTGGAGATGGCAGTCAGAGACCGATAGAAGCTAACATTTCTGGGAATGACACACATAGGAAGTTAATTAATGCTTAATTAGCTTATTAATATCATGTAAAAATTTGGCTTTTAATGTCTAAATGGACACAGCCAAGGAAAAATCGCTTAAATAAAAAAAAAAAAGTTGTCAAATCAAGATGCAATGTTGTCAAAGAAATTATGGGGTCATGTTGAGGACCTGTATGGGCCACACTCGGTGGATCTAATGTCTCTGGACTCTAATGTCATGCGTGATAGTAGGGGTCAGCCATTGAAACATTTTACTCCATTTAGATCACCAGAGACTTCAGGTATACATGTGTTCACACAGATTTTACGATATGAAAGAAACCCTTATGTATTTCCCCCCTTTCGGATGATCTTCCCATTGATCAAATTTTTGATTGAACAAAGAGTTGAAGGTTGCACTGTGGTTCTTCCTCAGGTATATCCGTTACCAGCCTGGTGGCCGATAGTGAAAAACTATTCAAAGTCTAAAACACTCCTGGCCACCATTGGTGACAGTGAGGCGTTATTGTATCCAACAAGAGATGGTTTTGTGGTAGACAAGTTTGGTCTGAAATTTAACCTATGGGTGTTTAGATGTGCTGTTTGACAAGGTGATACATTTGTCTTTTCAGGCAAACATGTGCGAAGGAAAGCCAATATACTGGTCAGGAATTAATAGTTGTATAAGGGAACTTGATCATCAACAGGCATTGAAGAAAGGTTTTAAGAAGACAGAAGGGGCTTGTCCTAATTTTAAAACATTTTTAAATTGTATAGAAATTAATATAGGAGAAGTTGATCCTGAAATAATTTGCCAATATCTGATATGGCGTGATTCTTTTGGAAAAACTCAGGTGCACTCATTTAATTGTAAACATTTAGGAGAGAATGGCGTTTTCTCATGTGGTTGTCCAGTTAGATTGGCAGGAGCTACCGTTTAAAATATAGTTCAAAAATTAGGAAAGTTATTCAGTGATATTGGTAGAGGAGACAATTGGGATGTGTCATTAGAAACTGGAAATCCTGTTAAAGCCCCTATAATTAAGAATTATATAAATATGATAACAGAGGAGCAAGCAGTCTCATGTAGTTCCTAAGCAAGCTAAACCAATATTCAGGTCAAAGATAAGGTTGGTTGTATCATACATAGATACATAGATAGAGAGTTGAACTGAGAAGACCTGACTAAAAAAGCTAGATTTATTTTATTGAGAGATCAGGCATATTTGAAGGTTCAGTTCGCAGGAGGTGATAGGGCAGGTGACTTGTCACATTTAAAGTCTCAGGAGATTAAAAAGTTAGAGGATAACTCTGGTTTATTGATATTTAGACGTTTGGGAAAACGTTAAGGGGAGGTAAAAGCAATAGATTTGTGCTCAAGCGATGTGAAGATGACGTAATATGTCCAGTAAGATGTTTAGAAAGATATGTAGGGGACATGGAGAAATTGGGTTTGGAGTTTTCAAAAGGATATATGTTCAGGCCGGTAAATGAGTAGTAGTATAAAAAATTGTGTTTTCTTAAATATTTGAGGAATGGGAATAGAGAAGTTAACAAATCACAATGTGACATGAATGTTAGGGTGGAATAGCGTGATAAGGGTAAATTAAAATGTATTTCACCCAATCCTTCTAACATGAAATCTACTGGAATGTATAGATGTCACTTAGGAAACATATATATCCTAAGTGACATCTATAAATAAGTAGAATTGAAATGTGCATTGTAAATAGTGAATTCAGGAGAGTAAGTCATGTGCGGAGGGAATGGATATTGATACTGGAAGTATCTTGGAACTATTAGGGAATGGTTTTTGAAAATAAATTGGTTTCCCCCCCCCGCCCAACCCAG